AGTGGTATCAGGAGGAAACTGTTAATCATAGGGCTGTTGAGTTGAGTTGAGTTGTCAAATGGGAAGGAAAAGAAAACCCCACTGCTAGAACTTTTTAACTATGTGACAAGAAACCAGAATCACTTGTTTGTGAAGCAAAATCAGAAAAAATCTCCATGCTAGTGCAAGAATAAAGAGAAATAAAGAGGAGTCCAAGGAAATTTTTGGGATTCTCTTATAGGGAATCGGCTTTTTAATTTTGTTAGGGTTTATTCCACCTTATATAACAGCTTCAATCATAGATTCATAGCAAGAAGAGTGTTCTGTGAGTGGCTGTAAGTGTTTGAGTAATTTACTTTCTCTCTTTCTTTTGATCTCTCAGATTGGTGTCATAATTAGTCAATCAGTTTAACAACATCATTTGAGGTTTTGAAGAAATGGAAGGAAGAAGATTGTTTTGTTTCATGTTGGCTCTGCAAATGGTAAGCTGGGAATCTGCAACAAGCAGGCCTTTAGCATCACATAATGGTCTTGCTGTTCATCAATCAGGTTAGCCACCCTCCAAATTTGCAATGATTATGTCTATTTAGCTTGCAGCAAACAAGTTTCCATCTGGAAATTGGTCTGTTTTAGTTACAGTAGTAATCCATAATTTGGGAGACACTAATTGTTTTCTCAGCCAAGTTCTCCCCTTACATTTTATCTGTTTCTTGAGGTACATCTTTTCAGTTTATCTATTTGATTTTCATGATTGGCCTCCTTTATTCCTTCTTCAGACAATTGTTCCTCTATTTCTTCTGTGTTTGTGCAAAAGCTTCCGAGATTCCTGTACTAACCGACCTTGTATGATTCAGTCCGAGGACAGATTCCAAAGCCTTCACAAGTTTTCTTGGTTCCAAAGCTGAACTCGGAAGAGGTCTCTCTCTCTCTCTCTCTCTTTCTCTCGCCGTCTGTCTATGTCATTGGTATGTTTAAAGGGAGATGTTTGTTTCTATGTTTGCAGAGTCCAAGACAGGCTGCAATAAACGAAAAAGCAATTGGCAGAGGAGTGAGCAGAATAGGATCAAGCCCACCAAGCTGTGAACACAAGTGCTATGGATGCACCCCATGTGAAGCCATTCAGGTGCCTACCACAAGCCATGTTGGCCTCCAGTATGCAAATTATGAACCTGAAGGCTGGAAATGCAAGTGTGGGCCTTCCTTTTACAGCCCATGAAACTACACTAGAGACCATTGGATATATACAGCTCCAGAGCTCAACTAAGATGGTCATCAATCCATTGCCATTCCACTGTACAAACCACACTCAGCTTAGCTTGAGGATCGTCTTTCTTAGAGACTAGTATCAGTGTTGCATATGTTGTTGTAACTTGTTAGCATTAGCAGCTTAAATTTTGAAAAGAAGATTGAATCTGGTGAGAATAAGATCAGTGTCATCAGGGTCATTAAGAAGTCTAAATAATTTATGAATCTCCAATTTTCATTCTTGAACAACTATTTGAGACATACAAGAATGTTTACTAAAATGGGAAAACAAATTAACTAGGCCAAACCTTGAAGGGAAAAAACAGGGCAGGGTTGGCATGGAACTAACATATTATTTCGACGTGGATTGAGCCTGATGAGGTGGGGTTCAGCTCTTGCTATTGACAGAAACAAGGCTGGAAAAACTTGAGCTGTTGCTGCAGATACGAATCAAAACTCCTGCCGGGATGGAATGTGTAGCCAGTGCTTCATAAGGTCGAAAGACGTGAAGCAGATGGCTACCGAAGGAATTGCCTGCAACAGGTAGTAGAACTTCATTGTCAATTTCATATACCGGAGAAAATCTTTTGGCATTCATCAAAACTATATAAAAGATAAATTATGAAGCTGGTTCTGCTTAATGGGAGGGTATGTTTTATAACATCCAATGAAATACTTTGTACCATATTCATGTAAAAGATCTTCAACATGAAATTACCTTCATATAGTTTATGCTTGCACCTGAATACAATTGTCTCCATCCTTGATTCTGAACAATGGCAACAAGCCCTTGCATTGTATTCTTGTACCCCGCACCACCCCTTTGCTGAATGTCAACCTGTAAATTAGAAACATTGAAAGTTTGAACCATTGTCTATGAAGAAGCAGAAGCATAGGAGATTCAGAGCATGGCAAAATGCAATCTAAGTCACCCTTACCTGCTTTTGTCTCTGAACAACATCCAAAGGACAGGTCTAAGTCTGTCCAAATAAACCAGCCAAAGATCCACAAGCAAGATGCAATGAAACAGAAGCTTTATGTTCTTCAGGAATCCATACCCTCAGCTCCTCATATGCAAGGTATTTCGAACCAGTGTAAGGGAGGATCCCCCCAAGTGTTGGACCTGCTCATTAATATTCAGAATTATCGACTAACCCATCAACAAGCCTACTCCACATGTACAATTTATGGCATTAGAGGACCACCTACCTACACCTTTATAGAAAGCACAAAATCCACCTTCTCTGTATACGGTTCTAAAGACATCTGTTATCCCCCGGTATGCAGGATGGCCTGAATGAATACATCGAGAACCATTGCTGAAACTTCGACTTTGATCCACCACCTAACACAGTCAGAAAATCAACTAGGAGTTACTACATGAATATCTCAATAATCATACATAGGCCACATTATTGATTTGTATGCACAAAGATATGGAAGATTGAAAGCATTTCCGAAATGCAAAATTGAATTAATCAACTAAACTGCAATGGTGCAAAACAAAGGCAGAAACAAATTGCTAGTGCAGATTCTTCTAAAATGTTTGAAAGCACTTGATCAAATTACGTACTTGATAAGCAAGCTTTGTTCGGGCCAAATCCAAGGGATATGTGCACAAAAATGCTGTTCCTCCAGCCGCAGAGTCTGCTAAGATATCTGCGAATGGCCCTGTTCCAACTGAAGGACAATTTATGAGCAGCAAACCATGACACTGCTGGTATGTCATGTGATGAAAGGCTGAATAAGGAAACATCCGAAGGATACTAACACCATTGCCTCTAAGAAGAAACAAAAGCTGAAATCAGAAAATATATTTGAACAAAGGTATAGCTACTGAAATTCCAATTTTTGAACATACTTGTATAAACCTTTAAGGCCTTCATGTGCCACCATCTTCTTCAGAGATTGAGCCACCCCTATAGAATGAAACCCTTGAGCCCTTGTCTGTAAGTTCCAGAAATTGGTCAAAGAAATGATTCAAATGAAACTCTAACAGGCATTTCATCAAACAATAACTAAACATAGCATGGTTTACCTGAAAAAGTATCTTGACTCTCTCAAGAGGTGCAGCTGCAGTCTTTGCCAAGGCACTGGCAGCACCAGCGGTGATTGACTCCATGACATAAACTGGGAAGGACTCCACAATATAAACATCTTCATGGTCACGACACTCGTCCAGAAAGCCATCCTCATTGACAGAGTCCATCCCAGATTTCAGTGCCTCTAAATCTACAGAACTGCCTACAAAGCTACATAACCAGAACAGTCAAAATACAATTCAGAAAGTCCCATTTGTGCAGAACAAATTAGCAAGCTACATTTTTTGAATGAATGTGAAATGGCAATATAGCATTAGAATTAGAATGATTAAAAATGAATGATGGACATTCATTGTTGTGTATATACATATATAAATGAAACGAGGGAAAGATCAAAGTAACAAACTTTAGAATGATGAGATTTTGGGTGTTTTCTGAAAATTGGTATTGATTCTGCAATCGAGCCCATGCAAGGAAAAGCACATCTTGAGGGGGAATACAGAAACTAGCAGCAATAAAAAAAAAAAAAAAATCAAATTCTGATTCTTTCAAAAGTTTTGGAGAAATATGAAGGACACAAGAACAACATCCTAAATTGAATTTTTTTTTTAAGGTAAAAATGAAAAATTAGAGTAACAGAAGCAAAATTTAGACCATTACTTCACAATTTAAAGTTTTTTCGATCCAGATATAGATTTATTGACTGTTAACAAAATAGAAGACAACCTCTTCCCCTCCTTTTCCATTTTAGCTCTTCTTACGTGAACACAAACAAGAACCTCAAATTCCTAAAAAGAGTGGATTTTTTGTTTTTTCTTAAATCATTAGTTATTTTAAGAAAAGGTTAATATAGATTACTGAAAATTTATTCATTAGGCTGCAAAAATATTTTCAACAGCATGTTCATGTTATTTCCTAATTCCAAGCATATGGAATATGGATTCTCTGAAAAATGTATTGCCCTTTCTTAAGGTTTATTGGATCTACCACGACTTGACACCTCGCCAGAAACAGGGTATTTTCGTCATTCCCTTACATTACAGCTGAAAGCTCAATTACGGACTCTTGAAACCTTCTCCTGCATCAACAATGGCGGACTTCTTCTCTTCTTGTGCAAGTTTCTCAAATATTCAGATGAAATACTCACGCTTTGATATGTAATTGGTCTTCCTAATTCGATTATTTTATCTATTATATTCCATTGTTCGTAATCAGTGTGACCGCGTCTGCATGTGAATTTGCAAATGGTGTTTGGTTGTTCGGAAAATATGAGTAGAGAAAATTTCAATCCTCACTTTGCTTTAATTGAAATCGGTAATTCGACTAATGTATAGGTTCCAGAATGCATATTCTACTTCGTTCAATTTTGTGATTTTTGAAAAAAAAAAATCCCTTTTATTTTCACCGAAGAAACATCGGATTCAATGATTCTTCATCGTCATTATGTTTGTTGGGGATATTATGTTTGTATCTGAAATATTTATGTTGTTTTATTGTTTAATTTGATTTTTATATTGTATAAAAGAATCTTGTAATTTGTTAATTAGTTGTTATTTTGTTCACATTTTGTGATTTGATCATACAAGTCTCAGGCTGTATGTAACTGGCTGTCGCATATGTCCATAAATTTCGTAATATGTTATTTTGGATCCAATGTTGAAAGCTACAATTGCGATTTGCTTGACATGGTTTGAAATGAAGAGAAGAATCTAAGACATAGTGATAAACTAGCTAGTAAAGTTAATTGAGCTGAATCAGCTCCAATAAACAACAGTCATGCATTTTTTTTTTTTATAAATTTAGATGGTAATGACTGAATGGTGGATTTATTGCACTCAAACGAGGTAAAGACATATGGAAAATTGGTATGAGAATATGATATTAATGTTATTTTGATAAATGGTAGTAGAAAACTATAAAATGCTGAGGGGATAATTTGTAAATTTATAAAGAGAATTGGGATAGTGCTTGGAGCTGATAATTTTGGAATGTATTTTTACTTGCTCTTTTCTATACTCTGTGCATGGAATTTAAAGGAGGCCTGTAATTACACTGACAGAAGAGGTTTTGTTGTCTTGTCCTTTTTATGTTTTCTAGGATTGGTGCCCTTCAGTCAAGAACATTCTTGTTCTAGATTCTGAAGGGAAGCGTGTAGCAGTTAAGTATTACACAGATGAATGGCCAAAAAACAGCGCAAAGTTCGCATTTGAAAAATCATTCTTCACAAAAACTCGAAAGTCAAATGCTGGAGTAGATGGTATGCTACATAGAGTTTTCTCCATCCTTTCTCTTTTCCTTTTTGGGGGTGCAAATGGTGGTTGATGGAATAAGAGGCTTACATCTTCTTGCACTATCTGAAGTAAAAGGTATTGCTCATTTTTCTGAATTAACTAGATTGCACTGCCATTATAATCAATCCACTGGTAAAATAGGGATTATGATTTCAGTTAAGAACCAAAAGCAACTCATTTGATTGTCTTCTCATGCTGCTTTTCTTTTGAAAAGCAATATTCTAAGTATCCTATGCTTTAGATGGTGACACTGGTATGGAATATTTATTTCTTTCTCCTCTAAAGTTGTATGTTTTAACAGGCTGCAACAATTATAAATGAAAAATCCAATCTACTTGCTCCACTCTTTGCACAACAACCCTCATACATGACTATAGTGCATCTTATTCAGTTTATTTGTTAATAAAAAAGAAAAAATCTTGGTCTCTTGTGGCTTACCAAAAGAGGAAAACATGTTCTTTTCATTGAAATTTTGCTATCCAGAATTAATTTATTTGAATGACCAAGCATTCATTTATGTGTTCTTCAATCTGACAGGATGATACTTGAAACAGATACCACTGTTATTGCAGGAAAGGTAGCAATCCAAAACATGGATGTTGGGACACCGTTGTCTGAGCAGGTGACATACTCTCCTTTAACTGTGTTCAAGCTATTAAGACAAAAACTTGAGAATGAAACTAATATATATTATTCACAGAATTGAATATCCTATATACACAAGGTCTGCAATTATTTATGGAAATTAAAGATATACAATAATAGAAAATATATACAAATAAGTGTGATTGATATCCTGCATATAATGCTGATTATATTTGCTGTAATTAGTGCAGATTCACGAGCTAGATTCTTGAGCTGTGTTGATAGGATGTGTTTCCATAACACGCCCCTGCAAGATGGAGCTACCATCGGTAACGCCAATCTTGGATTTCAGCTGAGAGAATTGCCGCGAGGATAAAGGCTTGGTAAAACCATCAGCTAGCTGATCAACAGTAGAGATGTGACTGACCCGTAGAAGCTTTCGATCCACCAACTCACGGACAAAATGAAGATCAATGGCAATATGTTTCATACGAGTGTGCATGACTGGATTGCTACTAAGATGAGTAGCACCAACATTGTCACAGTACACCGCCGGAGGAGAAGAAACAAGATGCCCCAACTCACGAAGAAGATGGCAAACCCACATAACTTCAGAGGATACAGCAGCTAGAGCACGGTACTCGGCCTCTGTTGAGCTGTGGGCAACCGTTTTCTGTTTACAAGCTTTCTAAGAGATCGGATTGCTATCCAAGAACACAATATAGCCAGTGGTTGATTGAAGGGTATCCTTGTCACTGGCCCAGTCAGAGTTGGAAAAGGCATGGAGAGGGAACAGAGGCTGCCGGAGCAGAAGAAGACCATGAAAAACAGAGCCCTTGAGATAACGAAGAACACGCTTGGCAGCTTGCATATGGACATCAAAAGGGGCATGGAGAAACTAAGAAAGACGATTAACTATGAAAGTAATGTCCGATCTTGTGAGATTAAGATATTGCAAGGAGCCAACAAGATGCCGGTATGGAGAAGGATCCGAGAGTTTGAGCCCTTAGTGCAATTGAAGAGGAGTTGTAGCCATTGGGGAGGAAACTGGTTTAGCCTCAGCCATGCCAAACTTATCCAGTAGGTCACGAATATATTGAGCCTGGGAGAGAAAAAGGCCTGCAGGAGTGAAGATAACATTAACTCCCAAAAAATAAGTAAGGGAACCAAGGTCTTTGATAGAGAATGTGTTGCTTATCAATTGAATCAAAGAATCAATCAACTGTGGATTGCTGCCGGTCACAATGATATCATCGACATAAACCAGAAAGTATAAGCAATCAGACCCATTGTGATAGATAAAAAGAGATGTATCTGAGTGAGAATTCTGGAACCCATGAGAGAGTAAAACGCTTTTCAACTCTTGAAACCATGTGCGAGGAGCTTGTTTGAGGCCATAGATAGACTTCCGAAGCCGGCAAACATGCATAGGTAGACTAGCATCAAGGAACCCGAGTGGTTGAGCCATAAACAAGTCTTCCTCAAGCTTTCCATGGAAAAAAGCATTGTTAACATCTAATTGCCGAATAAACCAATTCTGAGTGATTGCCAAAGAGAGAACAACCCGAATAGTAACATGTTTAATAATAGGGCTAAAAGTGTTAAAGTAATCAAAACCAGGCCTTTGATGAAATCCTTTAACCACAAGACGAGCTTTAAACCGTTCAACCCTGCCTTCCTTATTCCGTTTAACCCGGAATACCCACTTACAGCCAATCACATGTTGATGGGCATTAGGTGGAACCAACTCCCAAGTGCTTTGGTGAACCAAAGCATTAAACTCATCAGACATAGCCTGACGCCATTGAGGATGTTTCAAAGCTTGACTAACACAAGTGGGCTCTAAGGGTGGATCAATGGGATGTTTAGTTGCAGTGAATAAGGTTTTGGGTTTGAAAATATTGTGTTGAGATCTAAATAGTCATGCCATGAATCCGAGAAGGGATAGGAGGCAAGTTTGGTGCTAAAGGCGAGGTGTGAGGTGAGTCGAAGTGGGGAGAAATGGCACTGGCCTGGGAATGGCTAGGTGTTGGTTGTGTGACAAGAGAGGGAGGCAAGGTTCTGGTGGATGCAAGTTTGAGATCGAAAGAAGGGCTAGAGGTGGAATTAGATGAGGGTGAAAGAAGAGCTAATGGTGTCGGGGATGAGTCACCTATCGAGGAAACAGGGGAAGGGACAAGATCAAGGACTGAGGTAGAAAAGGATGGAGGGTTGAGAAACCTTACCTAATTAACAACTGTGGAGGCCGCACTAGGGATTGCTGCTTGAGGGCCAAATTCAGAAGATGGCGAAGCACCAACAACAATGGATGGGTCGGCTACAACAAAAGGTGTCTTGTGAAAAAAGAAGTTGTGCTCATCAAAACGAACATGACGAGAGACAAAAATTTTCCCAGTAGAGGGATCAAAGCATTTATACCCAAGATGATCAACGGAATAACCGAGAAAAGCACATTGTCGAGAATGAGATTGTAGTTTATTAGAATTATAAGGACGTAACCATGGATAACAAGTGCAACCAAAAATCCGAAGTTTAAGATAATTGGGTTTGAGATGAAACAATTTGTCAAAAGGGGAGATATTTGTAGGTCTGGGAAGGCGATTAATAAGATATACAGCAATTGTGAAGGCATGACTCCAAAAACGTGGAGGAAGTGAGGCAGCCTGTAAATAGTGTTTGACCGGTTTCAAAAATGTGGCAATTCCTACGTTCATTAATCCCATTTAATTCTGGTGTGTAAGGTGAGGTAGTAAAGTGTGAGATGTCAGTTTTTTGGAAGAAATCACGTAAAGCAAGATATTCCCCACCACCATCAGAATAAAACGATTGGATTGTGGTACCAAATTGATTTTCAACTAAAGTACGAAATTTTGGAAAAATTATGGCAACTTCAGATTTTCGTTTAATAGGAAAGATCCAAATATACCGACTAAATAAATCAACAAAAATCACATAATAAAGGAAGCCATCAATAGACATAGAAGGAGCTGGGCCCCAAACATCTGAAAAAATTATTTCTAAAGGTTTATTGCTTGAAATAGAGGAGGCTCCAAAAGGCAACTTGTGACTTTTGGCACAGAAAAACGACTCACACAAAGAAGACCTAGATTTATTAGAAAGGGGTAAAGGAACATTGCTAATAATTTTATTTAGAGTTTTTGATGAAAGATGTCCCAATCTTGCATGCCAATCCAAGGGGGATGTTCTTTCACCAATTAGTGCCATCGGACTCAATTTATTTGGATTTTGAAGGGGTAGACGATACACGCCATGCCGATTGGGCCCTCGAAGAAGCATCGCCCCTGTACTTCGATCCTTCACAAGAAAATAATCAAGATGAAACTCAACCAACACATTATTATTTTGACATAATTTGGAAACCGAAATCAAGTTACGTGAGGCATGAGGTACACAAAGAACATTTTTTAAGGTTAAAGGCTTAGAGTTGCTTAATAGTGTGGTGTGACCCACATGTGAGATAGTCAAACCTGATCCATCACCAATGAGTAGTTCATCAGACCTATCATATTCTGAGTGAAGTGCTAAGGTTGCCAAGTCAAGAGTAACATGATTAGAGGCTCCAGAATCTATCCACCAATCACCCTTCTTTAAAGTGGAAGTTGTTGCAAAGTTGGCAACATGAGCATGATTTTTGAGTTCAGGATAGTTCTTGGCAAAATGTCCAAAACTATTGCACAATTGACATGCATTAGCATTGTAACTATTATACATGTTGGAGGAATTTCAATTATTTTTCCCTCCTTGGGCTCCACGGTTTCCTCGGGCTCCTCCACGACCCTTTGGGGCATACCCATTAAATTGGCTGTTGGTATAAGGTGAAGCTGTTGAGTTGGGCTTAGAAGTCCGATTGAAGTGTGTTTGAACTCCATCATAATGGCCACCTACCGAGTTCCAAGCATTGAAGCCACCATAGCCGCTAGGATTTCCAATAGTACGAGGATGCACAAAAGCAAATTGTGCTGTAATTGGTGCATTGGTATCACCAACAAGAGCCTCCTCTCTTTGTAGAGACTCTTCATGGGCTAATAGTCGATCTTGTAAGTCTTCAAATGACAATGGGGGCCCATCACGGGCTCGAATTGAGGCCTTGAATTCCCTGTATTCATGTCCCAAACCGTTAAGCAGATAAACTTGAATGTCATAATTGTTTAGGGGTACCTTTTTTGCATTTCCAATCCGATCAATTAGGTTTTTTATAGTGTGAAGATACTCTACTACTGCTCTACCTTCACACCGAAGGTTCTGGAGCCTTTCTTTCAATGCATTAACTCTTGTATGAAAGCTATTTGCATAAAGTCTTTCAAGTATCACCCAAGCTTCATGCGAGGTCTCTGCACTAGATACATATGGGTGAATGGATTCTGATACTGAAGTCTTAATTGCGTGTTGTATTGATTGATCTTGCCTTACCCACAAATCATATGGTGAGTCGGGTATGTCATCTTCTGGAGGACATGGCCTGGTACCCTGCAAAAAATCAGTTAGTCGATAAACTCGGAGCAATGAGGTAAACTGTCGGCTCCACATGGTATAATTATCAGAGGTGAGTTTGACTGGGAATTGAGCAGCAACAAAGGCTATGATATTGTTTGAACTGGTACTGGTATTGATAATAGCACGGTTTTTCCTGAGCTTGACTTTTGGGTTTTGGAATCGGTGGTTTTGGGTGTTTCGTTGGCCATGGTTGTTTGATGTTAGTCCTGCTTGAGACCATGGCTCTGATACCACTATTAAGACAGAAACTTGAGAATGAAACTGATATATATTATTCACAGAATTGAGTATCCTATATACACAAGGTCTGTAGTTATTTATGGAAATTAAAGATATACAATAATAGAAAATATATACAAATAAGTGTGATTGATATCCTGCATATAATGCTGATTAT